GCAGTATATGCAGTATATGCAGTATATGCAGTATATGCAGTATATGCAGTATATGCAGTATATGCAGTATATGCAGTATATGCAGTATATGCAGTATATGCAGTATATGCAGTATATGCAGTATATGCAGTATATGCAGTATATGCAGTATATGCAGTATATGCAGTATATGCAGTATATGCAGTATATGCAGTATATGCAGTATATGCAGTATATGCAGTATATGCAGTATATGCAGTATATGCAGTATATGCAGTATATGCAGTATATGCAGTATATGCAGTATATGCAGTATATGCAGTATATGCAGTATATGCAGTATATGCAGTATATGCAGTATATGCAGTATATGCAGTATATGCAGTATATGCAGTATATGCAGTATATGCAGTATATGCAGTATATGCAGTATATGCAGTATATGCAGTATATGCAGTATATGCAGTATATGCAGTATATGCAGTATATGCAGTATATGCAGTATATGCAGTATATGCAGTATATGCAGTATATGCAGTATATGCAGTATATGCAGTATATGCAGTATATGCAGTATATGCAGTATATGCAGTATATGCAGTATATGCAGTATATGCAGTATATGCAGTATATACAGTATATACAGTATATACAGTATATGCAGTATATGCAGTATATGCAGTATATGCAGTATATGCAGTATATGCAGTATATGCAGTATATGCAGTATATGCAGTATATGCAGTATATGCAGTATATGCAGTATATGCAGTATATGCAGTATATGCAGTATATGCAGTATATGCAGTATATGCAGTATATGCAGTATATGCAGTATATGCAGTATATGCAGTATATGCAGTATATGCAGTATATGCAGTATATGCAGTATATGCAGTATATGCAGTATATGCAGTATATGCAGTATATGCAGTATATGCAGTATATGCAGTATATGCAGTATATGCAGTATATGCAGTATATGCAGTATATGCAGTATATGCAGTATATGCAGTATATGCAGTATATGCAGTATATGCAGTATATGCAGTATATGCAGTATATGCAGTATATGCAGTATATGCAGTATATGCAGTATATGCAGTATATGCAGTATATGCAGTATATGACATAATGTAAAGTACAAACAAAAAAGTTTGTTAAGTCAAGCAGGAGGAGCTTCAATGTAGGAGCTTCAATTTGCCTAGCTTCAATTTGCTTTGACTTTCTCTGATTAAAGAAATAGTTCTCTTGGGAAGAAATAGGCCTACTGCACCAAAATATATATTTACTTACAAATAGAAGTAAAGAAATAGAATACAAACAAATTTAATCAAAATAGATATGAGAATTTACCAAGAATAACCTGAGAATATACATTTTGCCAATGGCATGAATCATGAAATAAAAAAACTTTTTCAATCTGACTCCACTTGGCTACAAATTTATCAGACAGAAATGGTTGCTAATCAGATAAAAAAAAGACAAGAAACACAAATAAATCCATTGAAAATAAGTGACGTAAATATGTTCCAGTTTTTGTAACATGTGAAGCAATCACTGAACTGACAGCTAACTTGCTAACCTATTTTTCGAAGAATTTTATTCAGTTCCTACATCGGACTCAAATTTTCAAAGAACAGCAATGAAAGTACATTTAAAAGCAAATTTCCTATGTATAAATAAGGTCAATGAAAGTAAGATTAGAGACATTTAATAATGCTACAAGGTAACTTATTCAGCCATGGGTTATATTTCAACATAAGACTAAGACAATATTCCTGTTATTGTTGTTATATTGTTGATGGTTATGTTTGTGTTGTGGCCTTTATTATTGTTATTGCAAATTGACTTACTAAGAGTTAAGTATTGATAAGTAATGAACCAATACTGTTATCAACTTTAAGGCATTATATACAGTAAAATAAATAAATAAAAATAATAAATTAACTAATAAATAATAATAATTCTTATAATCATCAAAAAGATAATCAACTGTATATACATATATAGACAAAAAGATATACAAATAAACATCCAACCTCGTAAGCTCATTTCAAACTACCTTCGTACATCTCAATGGCAGCTCTAATGAAAAATCCCGAATCCTCAGCTCTCTTGGCTTCACTCCACTCAATCATCTGTAGACGGTACTTCTCCTTGTATTCTGAGGCACTGAGCAGGCTGGAATAGTCGAGGCCATTGTTTGCCGCAAACTGCTGTTTGATGGGCCCGGACAAACGCACCGTCTTGGCCTCTGCATTACCCAGTCTGCAGGGAGTTTTCATATATTGTCGAGAAGTAGATGGTAAAAAATATACATATATACTTTACTATATCAAAATGTATATTAGATACAGCATATTGTAGAATACTTTCAAATAGTGGGGCAAAGAAAAAGAAAAAGACAGAGAGAGAGAGAGAGAGAGAGAGAGAGAGAGAGAGAGAGAGAGAGAGAGAGAGAGAGAGAGAGAGAGAGAGAGAGAGAGAGAGAGAGAGAGAGACAGAGAGTGATACTGAA